TGGTCCATCAGCACTTATAGGGCCATAAGTTTTTCACTTTGACTATACTCAGCAGAGTATCATTCTGGTGTCTTTATAATACCTATTATTAGATTCTCTTAACTGGTTATTTTTTGGATCGAGCAAGGGCATTTTGCAAACAAGACATATGGACTGCTTTTTAGTTGACATAGCTCCCAAAATCACACATAATAGCTGAACTGATGGAGAAGCAACACTCAACTTGATCACATCAAAAGCAAAATTCAACCTGTTCCATTGGACTCACCTGTCCCTTATGATACTGATAAAACATGTCTTTTACCTGTATCTATAGCAGGAAGGACTGCTTACATATAGGCCACTGCTTGTTGAATTGGAGTAATTGCCTTACTTAGGGTGAGATATATCATAAGTACAGGCATTTTTATCAATTAGAGTGCAAAACTGACATACTGTGTTGTGCTGGAACATTAATTCAATAGTACAGGTTGTCATCAGCTTGTAATAAATTCATGTCAACCACACAGTGCAAAAAGCTAGTATGAAACAACATCAACAGATATTTGGGAAGAAGTGCAGAAAGATGCTTGTTTCAAAGATTTCCTAGAATTGCTGCAGACATTTCAAAATATGGAGTGGCATGGGAATAATGGCTTCTGACTTTTTCTGCAATATCTACCATGAGAATTCAGACATTTTCCATAAAGAGTTCCATGAAATCAAGAGATGGGTGGGTACATTTGTTAATTGTTAGCATCAATGACATGTTTCAAGATATTCAGTGGATACCTGAAACTCTGGATAGTAGTGAATTCTATATTTGCCATGTGACCCAGACACTGTGTCATCTGGAAGTCAGTATTCGGTCAATGCTGCATCACAATATAATAGTGTTCAGCTGCTATTGACCTTCTGACAATACATCAGAAGTAAGATTTTCAGGTGATCTTGGATCATTGACTTGTGTTCACGGTTGGATGTCTGGAACAATGTGGATGGTTGGGGTTCCTTGATAACTGTTTTTTTTGTTTTGTTTTGTTTTGTTTAGGTTTGTTTTTTGTTTTTGGGGTTTTTTTGCTAAAACCTTTTGGAAGAACATCGTAATTGGAAATTGTCATCTCTTTCTTTCTGATCCATAGGTTGTAATCTCTCAGTGATCATATGGGTGATTTTAATGCTATGTTCAGCCAAGGATTAAAATCCATAATAGTCCCTTTAATAACAGTTCTAAATGCTTCGGCAAAAAAATCTGTAAGGGCCACATTGCTGGTTGTGCTTCAGTTTCTTCTTCGTCATCTTCCTTTTCTTCTGTAGATGACTGAATAAATTCTTCCAATTCCTCATTTGCTAACACTTCTCGATGGCTTTCAGTATGTTCTGTCACTTCTTTGTCAAGGATGTCAGCAAATCCTTCTCCACCAGCTTGTCTGGCTGCATGAATGATTTTCCCAACTTCTCCATCGATCCCTGGGAAGCCTTTAAAATCATTCACGACTGGACTCCATAAGTTCTTCCAGCAGGCATTTATAGTTTCTGCTTTTAATTCATCCATTGCTTCTTTGATTAATGTTATTGTATCAGCAATACTCAACTATTTCCAACCCTGCAGTAGGGTCTGCAATAATTGCTGATAGCATGCAATTGAGTGCCAGGCAGGTGTATGTGGCCTTGACAAACTGAAAGATGGTCAAGGGGCTGAAGCAAGGAGATTGTATTTGGAGGTAAAAATACAACCTTGACATTTTCGTTTTCGTAGCAAACAGATTCAAGATGACATTGTCTGTGATTAATAGGACTTTAAATTACAACCTTTTCTGCTGCAAGTATTTTTCATCTCTAGGGTGAAGCATTGGTAGAACTATTCCATAAACAAGATGGCTGTGACCCATGCTTCTTTATTATGTTGGCAAAACACAAGCAAGTAATGTTTGATTTAGTTTTTGGGACAACATGGGTTCTTTGCTCTGGTTTTATTATATACTCAGCCAAAGTAACCAAAATGATCAAAGTTAATCTCTCCTTCCATGTTTTATGCCCTTGTGGCTCCTTAACATTTTTATGTATGTAAGTTCCATTGGGCATCTTCACGAAAATCCCAGTTATATCTCGATTGAAAACCTGCTTTGGATGGTATCTTTTCTCCTGAATCAACTTCTGCATCTCGGTTGTAAATGTGCCACAATTTCTTCATTGGCAGATAAAGCCTCTCCAGTAATTTGCATATTTTTCAGTCCTATTCCTGAATCTGTGTGACCACCATCTCTTGTTTGCAGGAAATGGCTTAATGTCACTCATTTCAGGGTAACCATTAATGAAGTCTTCGTGTAGTCTTAATAGTTTCTGATGCAACATGTTCTTATCAATGCTTTCTATCTTCCACCCACAAATTCAATGTTATCTTTGCTAAGCATTATCATGCACTGTGGCTGTAACTTTTGCAGTTTGAGGTATGACAGCAAAACTAACACAAATTTCCTTTCTTCACAATTTAATGGATAGAGGTGCCATTCTTACGATAGATCTTAGCAACCTCAGCACATGATTATTTTACCATTTCCTTTCACCTGCCATTGAGAACATCCTCCTTTTCACTTAAAAGAAGCACTTTACAGCTTCTCTTTGGCATACCTGCCTTGCTAGCATTTTCATTGTTGTGCTTTGGAGCCATTTAAAAATAAATTAAGTGTACTTTATAAGGGGTACTTTAACAGAGGCACTGGTATACTGCTTCACTGGACTAGAGACTAGTCAGCTAGAGACTAACAGGCTGGTAGTCTATACTGCATACATATGCAGGAGGGCGCAGGGTTTCATGACATTACTGTCATGGTGTGCAATTACTGCCACTATCCATTTTTAATTAATAGGTATTTCCAGTCAAAATTGCCATTAATTCATTTAATATTTTTGGACTACAACTGACGACAGGTAATTGAAAATGTGGAAAGTGATCCTATGGCTACACGGGTCTTACTGTGGTTCTTTTGCTATTATTATTACAAAATTCACACATTATTTGAACTCAATATAAGCAACTTGGGATTTAAAAAAACAAAAGTGTTGCTTTGTTTTGTTTAAAGGTGTGTGGAGGAAAGAAAAACTGGCAAATCTTATTTACTTAGAGAACATTGAACCTGTAGGTTTTAAAACTCTAGCTCTTTGAAATATTTGTGCTCCTTAATCTTTTTGCCATGTTTTTCTCTGGTCAGCATTGTTTAGCAGTGGCATAGTAAATAGGCAGGTGACATTACTCACAGGTGAGTCATGTTCTGGTCTGATTGAATTTGGGTGATACAGATAATTGAAAATTTTGTTTATTTTTGAGAACTTTTCACAAATGTCATCAAAATTTGATAGAACTGAAAAGGCCCATTCCCATGCCACTCACGCCCCATATATAGTCAGAGAGGAGACGTCCTCCAACAAGCCTCAGTTTTCAAGAATGCTTGTATAAGAAATAGAGCTCCCTCCAGTACAAAACTCCAAAGCTATGTAAGGTTTAAATGTTATTGCCACACCTTGAATACAAACTGTTGGGTGTTAGCAGATCATGCAATCCCTTTATACGTTTCTGCAAGGCTAGAAAAACGTTGGGTTCAAAAATGTTCAGCTGTAAGTGTTAGACACGTGCAACCAACAAATTAATAGATCCTGATAAAGGGGCAATTTGATCCCATGAATACATGCCACATAGGTTAGATTTCAGTGAATGAAAACCTAATGGGCATCCTTACCTGAAGCATATACATTTTTCAGCTATTTCCAGTTGTCCTATCTGAATTGTTTGAATGAATAGATGTAGAGAGAGAGATGGTTTTGGACACCTATATCTGGCTCACAGAGGACTCTTATACAGGTTCATTTTGGCATGGAGGGGATTTTTTTTGCTAGGCTTCACTTTTCATCCTAGCAGGTTGCCTCATATTAAATAAAACTATTGGTCCATCTAGCTCAATTATTTGAAGCTAGGATGAAAATAATGTGCACAATTTTTCTCTTCTCCTATAACAATACTGTAAATACTGTTATCTACTGGAGAAAAAATGCCCTATATAAGAACCAAGAGACTAGAAGAGTAGGGTTTTTTTTCATGATGAGAAATAATTGCACTAGCTCTTTCCATATTTGTGAAAAAAAATCTAATTTTCAAGAACAAATGTTCACAATTTTTTCAAAAAGTTCCAAAATGCAAAGAAATCACAAGAAGATGCACAACAGTGTTCGTCATATCATCCATCTGCTAGAGAACTATTGAAATTGCATTGTTCTGAGAATGAAATAAGTAAAGATTTATGATGCTGACTTCACAGTGTCTAGCAGGAACTCTGTACTGTTACAGATGTAGTCTTTCCCTGCAAATGTGTTGGGAGAAACCAGAGACAGAATGAATCACTCTCCATTACAATATGTGTCTAACTAAATTACTTTCCGTCTTCCTAAAGAATCATCCATCCATTTGCCGGAAGGGAAAAGCTGGTGTGGAATCAAGGTCCCATGTGGGCATCACTTCATATAAAAAGGCCATTGTTGGAACAGCACCTAAGATTATAAAATGAGTTTTGCTGGTCATCTAACACATTTAAAAAATGTCTCAAGGATGTCAGGAAGCCTCTACCAGCAAATACCTCTGAATTAAGAGGTTCTGTCTACCCCATCATATCTAATGGCCATTGACAGGACTACAGTCTATAAACCTGTCAGATCTTCTTTAAAAGCCAAAGAGCCTGCGGCTGTCTCCATATCTTATGGCAGCAGTGGACAGAGGTCCATTGTGCCTAATAGGAAAAAGGTACTTTCTTTTGTATCTAGTGAGTCAATTGCCAATTGATATCAACAGATGGCTGGCCTTTCACAGTTTTGAGACAGGTTTTTTTTTGGGGGGGGGGGTGTAGGGGGGAGGTTCTTCTACTCTGTCCACTTTGTCCAAATCATGTAAAAACCTCTTATTACTGGAAATTATAGTTCATGTTTGCAAAGAGATTTATTTTTTCTGTTTTCTTTTTCTTTTTAAACTCCAGGTATGGTGACATGGTGCCAAAGACAATAGCTGGGAAGATATTCGGATCAATATGTTCTTTGAGTGGAGTCTTAGTCATTGCCCTTCCAGTTCCAGTCATTGTCTCCAATTTCAGTCGCATTTACCACCAGAATCAACGAGCAGATAAGCGCCGGGCACAAAAGGTGTGTTTCCTCTTTCAGTTTCATGCTCTGACTTGATAATGGAGTAGTCAAAAAATATTTGCCTCAGTTTCTTTTTGTGAATATGGAAAATGTTTTATGTACCTCTACACAGGTTCGTCCATTTGAACCTCTACTGTTTATGGAAGTATATCTCTTGATTCAACCTTCGTTATAACCAACATCGCAGATCTGTGATGTGCTATACTGTGTTTGTTAGTGAGTCCAAAGCACAACAAATCAAAATGTGAGGTAGTGTGGCAAAATGTTTTACATTATTTCTAAAGGACTTGTAATAAAATTAAATATGTATAAGTTGAGCATTGTTTACCCACAATTCCAAAATCTGAAATCCTCCAAATTCACAATTGTACACATGGGTAGCCAAGGTGATTCAATGAACACAAACTTTGTTTCATGTAAAATTATTAAAATATAAAATTACGTTCAGGTTATGTGTATATAAAACATAAATGAATTTCATATTTAGACTTGAGTCCCATCTCCAGGATGTTCTATCTGAATTTGAATAAATATACAAATAAAGTTATTCCAAACTCCCAAAAATGCAAAATCTAAAACACTTCTGCTCCCATTGATTTGGATAAGGGATACTCAACCTGTAGTAACATTTCAAGGAGAACTGACAATATCATTTTAGTGATTCTTAGGGGGGTCCGGGTGATCAAATTCTACTCAGCAATAATGTAGAAAAGTAATCTGTGAGTTTCCATAGCTTATCAATAATTCAAGAATCAGGGTCCAGTACTAAAACTACCATTCCCACTGGCTCATGGGGGGAAAGTCTACTAAAACAGGAGTATAGTCCTGCATTTGTCATTGAAGTTAATTTACGTTGTATCTACTTGTTAATTGAAGGAGTTTGTTGGATGTATTTAACATTTGGTTCACCAAAAAGCTCACATGTGAGTTTTTTTTCATTTGGAGGGTTCTCAGTTCTATCAAATAAAGAGGTGAGGCATATCTGTTCTGCTTCTTGCTTCTTAACCATGTTTTTTCCAGTGACAAAAAATAGATAGAAGAACTGGTGAAATATGGCAGGTTGTAAACACAGATGGTAATGTCTGTACTACATATACAATTCTTCATTTTACACAGGGTGACTGTAATGACTCTGGTGTTTCCTCCTTTCCCCTCGTTCTTTCTTTCCATCTTAGTGTTCATCCATTCAGTTGAATGTGCAAAAAATTTAATCTCTGCACAACCAAGGGATTACAAATGAAGTGTGCTTCATAATCAGCAAAAATCAATTTCACTCTAAATGGTCACAGGAAACTTTAATTAACAACCCACAGAAGCCTAAGTTCCCGGAAGAACTCTAGGGGGATGTTTCTAATAAAATGTGTGGTGACCAATAACTTGAAGAAACTATGACTATTACTTTAACCACATTACTGTGATCCATTTTAATTTATATTGCCTTAGTTTATTCCTCTTTTCCTCGGTGACTAGCCCTCTCCTTTACAAAATACTGTGTTCCGTCTTATGCCTTTTTAGAGCACATGTATCAAACTCATGGTATATGGGCCAAATCTGGCCCACCATGTCATTTTATGAAGCCCCCCAGATTTATTTATTTACTGTTATTTACATCCTGCCCTTCAGAGTGCCCTTACAAAAAGGCAACAATCTGATGCCATATAATATACATACAATAATATAAACATACACATTTAAAACCAAACATTAAAAACATCTTATCATGAAAACCATTTATTATTACCATATAGATGGTGGATTACAACTCCTGTATTCCTCATCATTAGACATCATGTCTAGTGCTGATGGGAGTTGTGATGTAGTAACATCTGGAAGGCTGCCATTTGTCCTGAATTTTGATTAGAAGGCTTGTAGATATTATGTCTGACTTTAAAATGTCCTTTAACCTTTCCCCAACCTCAGAGCCACAAGTGTTGTTGGGTTGCAATAACATCTAGGGACCTAAATTGGGTAAAAATTGAAGAGCACTGACCACTATGTAAAAAAAATTATAGTTGGTCCCCTGTTATCCATGGGTTCTCTGTCAATGGATTCAGCAGCCCTCTAAAGGTTACCATAAGGTTGATTTGGCCCTCAATGGAAATGTTTTGGTGTTATCCAATTATTTGTTTTATATTTAATTTATGGCCCACCTGCCTCCCAGCATTGGATCCAAGGGGGCATACAAACTTTCAAGAGCACAAGGTTCCTAAAAAGTTTTATTACAGCAGTTAAAACACAATTGTTAATCAAAACTCAAAAAACATACATTAAAAATGCAGGTGAAAAGTAATTGTAAAAGTACATATAAACATAATAAAATAGACTCCCTCCCAATTTAAAACTCCAACGGCTGCAGCATATTTCAAACCAAATGACTCCTTATCTGCTACTGGAAGGACACATGGGGAAGAGGGGAGGTAAGCATACCTCTTAACAAAGACTAAAAGAATGTAGCCTCCAAATTCCAAAAATAAAATCACTTCTTAAGTTATTTTCAGCATTTGAGTAATGAGCAATATCTAATAGTGCCAATCCACTAGTACAAGTAACACTGAGCTTGCAGAAATTCAGTGTCAAATTAGGCCCAAGGAAATCCAGTTTTGTGCAAAGGAGAAATTAATTGTCTACACAATTATGTCTTATGGAAACAGCAGGTGTATATAGTATTATTCTTGTTGAATCAAATATGTTTGGTTCACCAAAATGTGATTAAGCCCTCAAAATTTGATAAGGTCTCAGCTGTGACTTTAAAAAGTCCAGACACAGGTTTTTGGAGTTGAGCCTTGTCCAGAAGCTTAAATAAGAGTATAGTTTTCAGTATACATGAATATGTATCATGGGGGTAGAGGTGACCATTTGTTGGTATGCGTCTTCAAGTTGTTTCCAACGAATGGAAACTCAAAGACAAACATACTATGGAGTCTTCTTTAGCAAGATTTGTTCAGAGTAGGGTATACCTTGGCATTCCTCTGAGAGAATGTGATTTGCCCAAAGTCACCCCAGTGAGTTTCCATGGCCAAGTGGGGATCCGAACCCTGTTGTCCAGAGCTGTAGTCCAACACTCAAACTAATATATCATACTGACTCTCAAAGATAACTCTAGATTATTAAGCCCAATGTTATTTCATGGCTTTTCATTAATTTTAACATTTGTTTACAAGAACTAATTCTATGAAATAGTAAAAAAAAATCATAGCATAAGAGATAGCACTGTTTCCTGAATCCTATTGTTAATACTAACTAGAGTCAACCTATTAGACTTTGAATTATATGTATGTTGATTCAGAATTCAACAGTTGATTCAATAGTTGATTGAGATGCATGATTATGAATATTGATCTTAGGAGAAGTATTTTGTGCATGACAAGAGAACTGGCACTTTGCATCACAAAATATGAACAATTTAGTCTTTCCTAATTCAGTATATATTAGGAATTTTGTGAGATCACTATTCAACTTCTCAAGTTGAATTTACCATCACATAAGGGGAATCACCCTTTTCCTGTTTCCATATTCCAGCTGTATGTAATTTTAAAAATTGCATAGTACATTGATGCCATTTTGACAGTGTGACTGTCAAGTGAAATAATGTTAAAGGCCAGCACTGAGATGCATTGTACAGTATTTTGGCTACATTCAATGTATACACCTAAAGCACATATTAAATGGAAAATATCGGAGCACAAAGTGACAAAATTGGCATGCATGTGTTAATCGGTTTTACAGTATGAGAACAAAAAATATCATTTGCTAAAATCATGTTGCATTTTTGTCTGTGAAACTAAATTTAAAATCATTTTGAATATTAGGTTTCTTGCCCTTAATTTAAGGCTTGCAGGACTCACAAATGCCTTTTACATAAGCATCTACATCCTTACTCATTAAGGGAACAAACGGAAAAAATCTTACCAAAAAGTGATGACTTGCTCCCACAGCATTTGCCTTTTCTGTGTTACTTGAGGTAGTTCACCCATCTCAATTATACAAAAAAAAGGAGAAGAAAAAGAAAAGGAAAAGTCACTTACAGGGATAAAATCAAAGCCCAAGCCCTTTCGTGCACCTGACAAAACACTCAGGTGCCAGATGCTAATGGAAAAAATACAGTTCTTTTCATTCTCTGATGACATACAAAAACCATCCATTCTCCACCTGGCACCTCTTGGGGACTAAACATATTAAATCGCCCCAGTGACTTCTGTCAAAAGCCGCTGAATATGAACAGTAACTGATAAGTTCAATTTTGGCAGCCTGTTCTCTGATTAGTAGTGTGGTGGCAGCTTAAGAAAAAAATGACAGGAGTAATTTCAGGAGGAACTAAGTGATATTTACTGGGCATGTATTTGCTTGGAACACTGGCTAGAAAAGAGGGAATTGCCCACAGATTGCACCTGCTGTTAATGTCATATTGCAAAGATTTAATATTGCTAAGGGCTTTCTGTCACACCAGAGGGCCTACTACAAAATTCGTTCTTCTCTGTCTAAAATTGATTTTATCGGAGCTTCGAATATATTATATATATATATATATATACTATAAGTCCCAGAAGCTCCTATCCTGCATGAGGGATTTTGGGAGATGAAGTCTGAAAAGTAATTTTCTCAAGCTCTGGATTTTACACAAAAGCTTTATGTACATAGGTATGTATGCCATCCCACCCAGGTGAGAATACCAGATACTTTGACAAAGAATCCAATTTGACTTCCTTTCCATCCCAAATCCAGCACTTAGCAAATTATTCTAGTCTGTTTGAATTAACCAGAAGCTGTCACTGACAAAGAAAAAGATGATAACAACCCATTTGATAGCCCTGAAAGTAAAGCATCATAGAGAATAAAGTAGACCAAGACTTTTTAAACTTTTTCACTTTCAACCCATTTTGACCGAATATATAAAAATACGTATAAAAATCAAACTGATAACAAATCAGCATTTTCAAGACTTGCTAAACAGGATAATTTTCCTTTTTATGAAGTACAGCATAAGCATCTTCTACAGAATCCACTGTAAACACTGCAGAACATATTCATGTATGTCTAAAATAGTTGTTCAGAAAACTGTTGTTGTCAAATGTTGACCCCAACATTGATTTAAGAAGACAGCATTTGGGGTCAGGGCCCACAGTTTGAGAACCAATGAACGACTCATCTTGCTTTCTTCCTTTCTTTCTTTCCTCCCAATGCAGGACCTAAGGAAACAAATTAAAACAAAATTCAGTTAAAATAATTAACTGCAAACTTAAAGTACTAGGTATTAAAACAAATAAGTTATCTAAGTTAGAAATTTAAATAATTTAAAGGCATAAAAACTAAATGAGGGGGGGGGCAAGAATAATACTCCCTACATTAATCTGATGACTTTTGTGTATCCATGGATATGATCCAAATATTCTCTTAGATTTAAGGGATATAAAATATCCCCATTTTCCAGGACATTCACCTTGATAATGCCTTTATTTAAAAGGACAAAAAACCCTCTTAAATTTTAATGAAACAAATTTTAGGTTGCCCCATTTTGCTATAGGAGTCAACCTAGACCAACACTTACAGCTCACTCCTCTATACTTTAGGAATCAAAAGAATGTGATTTAAGCTTGAGAACAAATTCAAAATGGCTTCCTCCTGTGCGGGGATTTTGCCATCAAACCAACTAAAGAGAAGTACAACTTCTCACATTCAGAGAGACCAAAGGAAAGCTGTGTTTGATCCTAAGAAAACGCTCTCTTTCTAAAAGCTCTTGTAATCTTTAATGTTGACTTCACACTGTTCAATTTACACATTTGAAGCAGGAGCTGACATTTTTTATTTCAAACTTTTCTGCAAGTTCACCTTACTATTGTCTCCAACTTTAAGATTTGTCTTCTTCTTAAACGGTGCCAGTAAAAAAAGTGGGAAACGACCCCCTAAAATTGAATTCCTATCCTGTCAGAATTAGAATATATTGAAACATATAAATAGAATGTAGTCATTTCAGAAAGTTATAATGTGCATATGCTGCTGAACTCTCCCCTGTATCTTCTGAATCTATTGTAGTTTCAGATGCTGCAAACTCTATTTGCTTTGGAAGCTTTTTGAAACTTCCCTTCCCTACAATATCTTGTTCAAAAGGTGATGATGATGATGATGATGATGATGATTATTATTATTATTATTATTATTATTATGTTCATTTATACCTCACTTTTTATCTCTACAACTAGAGTATAAATCATTTGGAGTTGGATGAAAAGAGCTGCTTAATGCCCAGTGACTGATGTATCCATTCCAAGTTGCATTATAAAAAATGTATGTCCATGTGTGCTGTGTTTATGTACCATGAGAATGAGAGTAGAACTATGATTAGTGACTAGAGAATAATTTATTCAGCAGCATCAAGGAAATGGTAGAGAAAATCTCTTCCATCAGCCGGTGGATGTGATGAAGAGAGTGAGGATATCTTGTCTATTTCCTCCTCCTTTTCCATCTCAATGGTGTCCTAGTTTGTGTATTGAATTGGGAAACCAGGATTTAAATCCCTGCTCAGCCATGGAAGCCCGGTGGGTGACCTTGAGCAAGTCACACTATATCAGTCTTAGAGGAAGACAATGGCAAACCTTTGCTGAACAAATATTGCCAAGCAAACCTTGTGACAGGTTCACCTTAGAGTTGCCATAAATCTGAAAACACTAAGGCACGCAACAGCAGCAGCAGCAACAGTCTACACAGCCCTTCAGAACAACTGCTTATCTTATAATGCATTAAATTTCTGTCTATCTTTCTTCATATTCCTTCCCCTACCCTCTTTTCATTCTCCTCCTCAAAAGATTGTGTGTCATTCTAGTGAGCCTATTTTTCCCCAGACCATGTTCTTCTTTCCATAGCCCATCATTTTTGTGATAGAGTTTCTAAAACTCTCACTATTGTATATTTTTGTGTGAACCAAACTGAAGCAAGATGGTAGTCCTTGGTCTGATTGACTCCAGTGAGAAGTCGTTCCAAAGCTTTTGTCCAAGTGATATTATACAACAAAGCCACACAATCTCCTTTTGCAAATATTACAGAAGGCTGAAGTATGAAAACAGGATGTGGTTCTTAAGCTTCCAATTTCAGGAACTGCAACAAGATGCAATTCTCTTGCTACAAATTCCATTTTCAATTATGTTCTGGATTAAATGCTCCTCTTAGGAAACTTGAGAAATACTCAAGCTTTCTCTCCCTCTCCCTTCCAACTTGACTTCTCAGGTCAATGCTTCTCAAGCATTAGATCTTAGACTTCTTTATATCAATCTATGAAAAAATCACAAGAGAACACATTTTGCAGATATAACTGCTGTTTTTATGCCTGAATCTAGTCCCAACTAGATTCATTTGCATCAATCTGTGCAAATCATATTGTTTCAGTGAGTTTATTCTACTTGAAATTAAAAATTGGATTTAAGACTTTATATCAAAGGTGGACATTGTTAAATGTTCATGATAATGGCAGACAAACGGAAGCTATTCCAAGGCAAAAGTGGTCTGGAGTATATCTAAGGAACATAACATAAACCAGACCATGCTGTGTATACCACTTTCATGTTACCAGTCCCTGTACTCCAATGAATGGAAGGCCACTGGTTTAGATCTCACTGCATTACACCAAATTTCTTCTACAAATCAGAGCACATTGAGTAATTAGGTGTGACACTTCACAGCTGTCAGACAGCTAGCTAGTCTTTGAGTCTATTATTTGTTTCCTTCAGGGAAGTTTTAGTGGAAGAATCAGGAATTGTGCAATTACAGGGAGAAGAAAGCCACATTCCGGACCTCAGCATAGAAGCAGTGGCATGATCATACTGGCAGGAGTAATGGGAAATCAACATGTCTCATATGAAAATATGTGTAAACACTGACTCAAACACCATTCATTGTTCTTGTCAGATGATGCATGCTGAGAACCAAATGCTTCTTACTTATTTGCATTATAAATGAAAAAACACAGCACCTGAAAGCTCGGTCCACAGAGTCCCTCCTGTGATTAGGGAGCTTGGTATTCATAGCGAAGTAATTCCAATTAGCTATGTTATCTTTCTTAAAAAGCTCAATGATGGATGCAAACGCAAATGGCACTTCTTTCTTTTCTTCCCCACAGAAAACCAGGCTTGCCAGAATCCGTGCAGCAAAGAGTGGAAGTGCAAATGCTTACATGCAGAGCAAACGGAATGGCTTGTTCAGCGACCAGTTCCAGCAGGTAAGGAGCACTGTATGCACAAAATCCAGAAAACCCAATAAATAACACATCAGCATTGTGTGTTCTGTTTAACATCAGAAAAAGTCATATTTTGATACATACGCATAGGCTGAAGGAAAAATCCTTCTTATGCACGGGAGCCAGTTAAAGAAAAATGGTTTCCCTTGAGGTCCAGTCTATTTGGTTCTTTTCTTTCCCTCCCTCCCTTTCTTTCTTTCTTTCTTTTTTGGACACATACAAATCTACTGGTGATGCTACTGGGAGATGGGGAAAGGTCACTTCCACAAAAGCAATCTTCTCCCTATGTGACTCTAATGAACCTCCCAAGAGTCTACAGCTGCCTTCCAAATAGCCATTTCCCTTCTTCCAGATGGGGTAGCCAGACTGGCTGCGAGTCTCAAGTGCATTTCATTAAAATGCAATTTTAATGTCAAGGATGTCACACATTTGTTCCAGGCATGATTGGATCTCTGCTATATAAAGAATATTGCTGTATCAGAATCTCTGCTTTGGAACTGATTTCCACTCATTCTCCTGCTTGTTAACTCTTTTACCTTTCTTTGCCTCTCCTGAGAGAGAGAGATGGAGAAAGAAAGAAAGTTCAATCAAATATGTCTTGATTTTGCTCTGGTTCTTGTTTTATGAAATTGCAATAGTATTGCTCTTTTGCTGTGACTTTTACGAGGGGTGGGTGATACTTCCACCATTGATAGGACAGTGAATATTTTCCAGGTTGTAGGCTGACCATTAAAGAAGTTAACCAAGGTATTAAACCTACTTAGAGATATAATTCAGTACCACAAATAGCTCTTTGAAAATTCAGACTAAAACCAGGAGTGGATTTTCCACTCAGTTGATAAGACACTAATCACCAGTGGCTTTCAAAACCTTTTTGTGGAGAGTAGAATTGTCTAAAGATCCAGAAGACTGCCCTCATCTTCTCCCAGTAATATCCTGTTTTGAGCCTTCTCTCAGGTAGGAACTGCATCAACAGTAGATGTACACTCACAGATCATCCTACAAGATCTCTTTGAGATCAACCTTCTACTGTTGGATTTTGTCACCAATAGGAGATCATTTTCACTTCCCGTTCTGTCAAAAAGATATCTACTCTTTTGGATTTTGTAATTCTGCATAAGAAAACCCTGTTTGACAAATCCCCTCACAATAGTTTCTTGAAAAGAAAGACAGGCCAGGCACATACTATTTTTCTTCAGTTTTCACTTTTTTTCTCTATATAAGCATCTCTAGAAATGGGGGTGTCTTAGGGCCCCTCCACACAGCCCTATATCCCAGAATATCAAGGCAGAAAATCCCACATTATCTGAGTGTGGACTCAGATAACCCAGTTCAAAACAGATATTGTGGGATTTTCTGCCTTGATATTCTGGGATATAGGGCTGTGTGGAAGGGCCCTTAGAATCAGAGGTATATCTTATGTATTTTTGTTGATTGTGGTGATGGTGGTACTAAAATTAGGGTGTGTCTTACAAAAGATGTCTTCAATTGTAAAAGTCCCTGGTAGCGCAATGGGTTAAACCCTTGTGCCAGCAGGACTGAAGACCGACAGGTTGGAGGTTCAAATCCGAGGAAAGCATGGATGAGCTCCCTCTGTCAGCTCTAGCTCCCTATGCAGGGACATGACAAAAGCCTCCCACAAGGATGGTAAAACATCAAAACCTTCTGGGAATCCCCTGGGCAGTGCCCTTGCAGATGGCCAATTCTCTCACACCAGAAGCGACTTAGTTTCGTAGAAGTAAATTTTTGATGACGTAACATTTTGTTCTAAGCCCATTGCAAAGATTTTCAAGAAGGTGTTTCAATTTCTACTTTAATTGTATTATTCAACCTTTAATAATCCTTATCCATTGTTATTTTCAAGTCGTGTTGAAATTAGTACTTTAATTGGTGTATTTCTTGCTCCTTAATTTCAATAGATCTTGAATGGTGAAGCAATGACATCATCATAATGTGTTAGCTGTAAGCACACCAATACACACCAATTATTTCCTCATATGCTTTCACTTGGACTTGTTCGCCAATCCAAAAAAATGACTAACAAGAACATGGTCTTATGGAAAAGTCAATACCATAAATATTTTAAAGTGAGCAGTATTTCAGTCCTAAAGCATTGCAGTACAGGCTTGCCGTGTGTTCAGTTTGGTTTTGTTTAAAGCAACTAAGATGCATATTTATATCAAGATCCTCACTTGATGCCCATTTCTTCACAAATGAGGACAATGCCATATTTTATGTATCAACAGTTATGTGGAGACGAACAAGAGGCCTTTGTTAACAAAGCTGGCTCTTCGTTTGAAATCCAGCACCACCACCTGCTTCACTGTCTGGAGAAAACAACGGTAAGGTGATAAAACGGCAGCTTTCTTCTGATCTGCAAAGAATAAATCTGGTGTTGTGCTGTTACTTTTAGTTAAGAATGCCTGATCTTGTGCAATTTCGGCTTACTTCTTAAATCCAAAGACATTATTCATGGCATGAGAGTCTCCTGAAGTTATATTTGTAGCGGGATTCATGTGTGAGTTCATGAAATATGCTGGAAATTTAACTGTATAGGAGTAAAGTTTGTTTCTGCCGAGCATAGGAGCAGTTTCAGATCGTTTGCTGGTGGAAATACTGGGGAAGAGATCACTACAACAGGGATCTGTAGTAATTGATTAATTACAGAATTTCAGTAGTAATAAACAGACAGAAGACAAGATTGGATACTCTTTTCTTCATATGGGACTTGCTAATCCATCTTTCAGGAAAAAAATGCAGCGAAACAGATACAGGGGGAGATTGGTGTAGGTATGCCAGCTTTTCCTAATCTGGAATTTCTCATTTCTTTTTGGAAATGCAATGACAGTCTGAGAAGTGCTGAGCCATCTGACAGTTGTGCTGGCGACTTATTTTTGGCTGTCTTGCTCTAAATATGCACATTTGTGAAAGCGCTATTTCCAATGTGCATATTTATGTTCAAGCTTTCCTAAACTATTTTAAGGACACACAGTATAAATGTAGCTTTGTGCATATATTTTCTTATCACTTGCATTTGAGTGTGCGTGTTCCCCATTATTTTCCCCACAATTTTGGTTTGCAAATTGTGCTGCATTCCAGTTCATGCTTAGGTTTAAACAGTTCACCCGTCCTGTGTCCTGATGCCTCCTGCAGTTTTGGGAAATCAGTCATTGCACTTCAGTAGTTGGTGAATGAGTTTCAGTTTTGGGAAGTGACACACTACCAAATTTGATCCTACCATTCTTTTTTTAAAGTGCCTTGACACTTTTATTTTCTTCAGGTGGCAATAACAGACCTGTCATTTAGTTTTCCTTATCATTTTTCTTTCTTTTTACTTTTCCTTGCCCTTGCCTTTAGAAATAATATTATGTTCAATGCTATTTAATTTAGGCTATTTCACATACCAAGATACAATCTGCAGTTAGGATCTGAATACATTTTTGAAATGAACCTGAGGGCTTGAACCAAACCAGTGGATTGTTTCCCCTTTTATCAAGTTTTAACAGAAAGGGACAGGAAATAAATGTGTTTTACTCTCCCCGCCCCCCCCCCTTGGGTCTCACATTTCTCATCAGGCCTATCTTTATTGTAATGAACTTTATAGAACTGAGTTCTTTGAAAAATTGTGTCCAACGTTTCCTTGAATCCACATGGATTTGGAAAGTTCACACCTCTCTATTTTTTATTTTTAGTATTTTTATTAAAATGATTTAATATAAAACACTACATTTAATATATTTTGGGTATTTTCCTTTATCTTAGGATTGGCCATAAATAGGTTTTAAACAAACAAACCACCTATTTTCAGTAAAATGCAGACATCAATGAACTGTGTTACTCTCTTGACAATACTATTTTGTAATCATTTTGCAACCAAGTTTTAACTTCACTTTAAAAAAGAAATCAAAAACTAATTTGCCAGAATTAAGATAATATACCGTATCATAAAATGTACAGACATGCATGATTGTGATAAGAATGTTCATTGCCACTTGTCTTTCTCAATCATGTCGAGCAGAATCACGAGTTTGTGGATGACCAAATGTACGAGGAGAGCTGCATGGAGGTTTCTACCATCAACAGGCATTCCAGCCACAGCCCTTCTCTTTCTTCCCAACAAGGAATGACAAGCTCTTGCTGTTCACGACGTCATAAAAAGACATTCCGCATCCCAAACGCCAACATAGCTGGCAGCCGACCAAGTAGCATCCAAGAACTCAGTACCATTCAGATCAGGTGCATGGAAAGAACACCTCTGTCTAACAGGTACTTCAGTTTTAGAAATGATCCTAGACAGAGATAACCGTGTCCTTAAACCTTCCGTATGGCAAAGGACTGTCAGGAAGCATGAGCTTGTGTTAATGTGGGTATTTTTTGTTTTGTTTCAGATAATTAACTGTGTTATGCAGGGTTGTAAGGAAAGCAGTCATCTGTTCTTGAAAATAATAATTTTGGAGTGCATAAGTGAATGACTGTGGATACTTTTTAAATATCATGGCAAATCAGCTGTATAATATGGTGGACTTTACTGACAGCTTGTTATAAATATTTTCCAGTTTATAACTCAGTTGTTATCTATGGGCCCATGATCCCAATCTTTTTCCCAACAGCTGTCCATAATCCCACATGTAATATTTCCTCTTCCCTTAGACAAACATTCAAAGCCCCTAAAACACCTCTAATTGCACTGAATTGACTCATAACCTTGGGAAATACTGTGATGATATGTTTACCAATTTGTTTGGTCATATCTACATGAGCCTAATAGAAGGATTGGTGGGTAACACGTTCACAATCCCAGAGACAAGTAGACATTTATACAAGGATCTTCTGCCTCATTGACTTCCATGGAGGCAGTTTTCCCCAAAAGAACTGCTTTATATAGATTTGGTGTCCCTCTACTGAAATGAATTACAACATTTTATGTCTGGGAATATGAATAATAGTTGTAAATAATATCGGGAGTGGATTACCTGAGTCAACGATGGACTCAGAGGTTCCATTATTCACAACAGTAATGCACTTGCTGGAAATTTGTCTACCTACCATGAGTAGCATAATATGCTAGATGATAATGTTCTACCCTTAGTGCTTGATACACCTGATCATTTTTGGGACACCATTGTAATTTAGTGTATATACTCATGTATAAGTCTAGAAATTGTAGCCAAGAAATTAACCCTCAGAACCTGGCTCAACTTATCCACTAGTCAATGTTTGTACTGTGTTTCAACACTTGACAAAAATCTCTCTGAATATAATGTTTTGGGAGAACCTAAAAGAATCACTGAGCCCCATTACTCCATCATAGCACTATTGCTGACCTTTTTGAATGATTGGGCAGGAATTTGAGGGTAGCGATTGGTCTCCTGAAGCAGCATTGGTGTTTTGCTCTCTCTTTGGAAAGACTGGCAATTTATCCATGGTCATATCAAAATTCATACATTTTGCCCCAAAATCTGCCCTTAACTTATACATGAGAATGACTAATACATGAGTATACACAGTATTCTTCTTATTACATAAACTATTAGAACATAGACCTAAATCCATTTTATACTGTTGCTACAATACCTTCCCTTTCCCTCACAGCCTTCAGAGGTTTTTCCAAAACAACCTCATATGGTTTCCCAGCTCTTCAGACTATAAAGACATACAAACAGGTTTCAGTGGGAGGGGATGGCCACCTGCTCTGCTGAATCTCACTGTTTTAACTGTGGAAGTCCAGCTATGATTTCTGAACGTTAAAAAATCTGCCAATGTTCTCACACTCCCAACAAGAAGGGAATGCAGTCTCAGCACACTGAGAGGAGCCTCCATGGCGCAATGGGTTAAACCCTTGTGCTGGCAGGACTGCTGACCGAGAGGTCAGTGGTTCGAATCCAGGGAGAACAGGTTGAGCTCCATCTGTCAGCTCCAGCTCCCCATGAGGAGACATGAGAGAAGCCTCCCACAAGGATGGTTAAATAGCAAATATCCAGGCAAGCCCTGGGCAACTTCCTTGTAGATGGCCAATTCTCTCTCACCAGAGGTGACTTGCAGTATCTCAAGTCGTTCCTGACATGAAAGAAAGCACACTGAGACACTTTGGCAAACCATCATGAAAATTTGTATTCTGATTTGGAGCTCTTTTATGGGAAAAATTTGGAACAAGTCCTTGGGTTTGTGTTGTTTGCACAAACATTGGGTCTTACATTGATCCCACCCAGCCCACACTCATAAGTGAACAAAACAAGTAAATTTACATATTTTGATTCCAAGTAAAACGTATTAAGGCTGGTGAATGAACAAAAGAATAAGTACTGGTTGAGGCATAGTCATTTTGTTGCAAACCAGACCCAAGCTGAATGGCTTTCTGACATACCACAGCTGAATAAAAACACTAAGCAGATGGAACTTTTATGTAATTTTATACCCATTGATTTTTTTTAAACTTCTCTAGCCGATCCAGTTTAAATGCCAAAATGGAAGAGTGTGTTAAACTAAACTGTGAGCAGCCTTATGTAACAACAGCAATAATCAGCATTCCAACGCCGCCTGTGACTACACCAGAGGGAGACGATAGACCAGAATCTCCAGAGTATTCAGCAGGAAACATTGTCAGAGTATCTGCTTTATAAAACAGTTAAATTAAAGACTGCTTAAAAACTGAGCTGCGGCAAAGAGAATGAGAGCGTGGAGAAAGAGAGACATGGCAACACTTTGTTCAATGAACGCCAACAGGCAATTGGAAGATTTTGGAGATACAAACATGTTTGGGCTTTCAGTTCTGACTTGTGAGCATTGGGCAACCAAATGGAATTTCTACATATCACTTGAACCTTTCTGGAGCAAACTCTTCTGTGACTCTTTTCATTTACTCTATGAGCACAATGAAATGTCTCCCATTGATGCTTCTTCTTACCATGACAAATCTTTTTAATAAAATATCTAAAACAAAACCAAAAAAAATCAAGAAAAGAAAGATAACTACTGTTCGAACCACTTACATTCCAACCGGATGCAAAATCAAGGATGGAAACAAAGTTTTGATATTCTCTTTTTTCCTGTTGATACACCATGAACCCGTTGACAAGCTGACTTTAACGAGAGAGAGAGAGAAAATGGCTCATCAATATTTGTGCTGACTGGAAGAAACACAACCATAATGCATGTGAAAATTCTTTGGAGCTGTGATCTGAGTTTACTTCTGTTGTTTATTTCAGGTTAGGCATGATAACATTTTACTGTAGACAAGGGGCATTTCTGTGCACTTACAAAAAAAAGCTGATTGTTAATGTTCCATTGTTGTACAAATAACTTCCTTTTCTGAGGGTGAAATTAAGTATTTCTCCCTCTAAAACATGCATTAGTGAACTTGAGATGTTCAATTAGTTTAGTATTTATCATTTTTTTCTCTGGCTTCCTTGGTACTGTTACAACTGCAATAATACAATGTACATCTGTTGTATCAGGAATCAGGCTTTTATTTATATAATTGCACAAAAAAAATCAACTACGCAGATAAAAGAACAAGGATAGACAGTACAGTGTTCTCTGTTAAAGTTTAAAATAATTTCACAACCAAAACTATTGTATCACAAATGTAGGGTTGTGGAGTTTTTTTAATCCCCATTATTCTGTAATACTTTAAAGCCAATCATTGCCTTTGTTTAACTTCTTTCCTCTTTGAATGTCAAGGGTTTCTATAGCTAAGAACTCCCTTTGATTAACTTCATTCTGTAGTTTTATGTTTCTGGAACAAAACAACAGTCTTCCTAGTATAGTGTTACTACATCATTAATATCAGCCGTAACACTAACTTGGTTTAGCAATCAACATCTCTTAAATTTTACTACTATTGAGTCCTACTACTGGACAGGCTAAGTACCGGGAGACAGAGTTAAGAGTTCCAGAGGATTACTAAAAATATTGCTGGAACACTTAGGTATTCTAACAAAGAATGTTATTGAAGTGAATGCTATGAACCTATTGTTGCAAAACAATAGTTGATGTGAAGTTATGTACTACTGTGGGATCAATGCACAAATGTTACTGTTTGAATTTATCCTTTTGTTTGTCTGTTTCGTTGTCCAAAGGATTTTTTAAATGCTATTTCCAGAAAAGTAACTTTCTTCAATAGTTGCTAATCTAAGAGCATGGTGGCTTGCCATCATTTCAAGTCCTCAAGCAAAAAAACAAACAAAACAGAAATATGTTTCTAAGAACGTGTAACCAAACCTTGCAAGTGTTTCTAAAGAAAATGCTAGATGGACATGTATAGAACCTCTACTACAGAGGGCACTATAAGATAGTGTATTGCCAGATGTATTCTCATCTGATCATTGAACCCACTCATGTATGGATGTAAGAATGTCCTTAAGTGGTCTCTTGTCTGAAATTATGTCAGATTAAAAATAATATATTGGATGTTGGTGATCAGATTCCATCCTCATCAGCTGCCACCCAATCTGTTTAGTGCTATTTAGTATTATGTGACCAGCATCACACCCAACCACATTTCACATTTCCAAATTATTGGATCTGACTCTCCCCCTCCCCTAGATAGTTGAGTGAATGAGAAATGTAGACGTACAAAGAGCTCATCCCTTTTTTATGGATTCATTGTCCAATCCCCTGTTGCAGGACCTTAGTTGTAGGAGAGTTGAGTAGGGTATTATGCAAACTATGTATGCCCTTGCAGTACCCCCTACACCCCATATCCATTTTGGTATCTTACAAAGCAAAATGGATGAAGGACATAACAGCTGTGATCAAAATGCTCTCTCCTTTTGGTGCTGTTCCCCATAATTGGATCTATATCAAAGACAAATGCATTGTCATAGTGTAATGCTTATGGCAGGGGTGAGCAGCGTAAAGGCCCTATCCTGTTTTGTAGCCACTAGAGACTCCACCTCACCCATTCTCTGGATATATATTTTTTGTAAAAACATGCAGAATCGCTTTCTAAGAAGTAGAATTTTATGGAAACTAAGGTGAATGGCCCCCATGTGCCTTGTTTTGGGTTTACTTCTCCCAATATTGAAATTCAACATTCAGTTAAACAAAAACCCCATTAAATAATGTTTTGGCTAGCACAATAAATCTGGGAGTTGTATAGAAAATTTACTTCTGTACCCTAAACTCAGTTGGCCATCTTATCCTATAGGAGCAGAAAGTCAGTGTATAGGTACAGAAAATCAGTATACAGAGAGACTTGAGCCAATATCTTGTGCTGCATTTATGCACACCCTTTTTCAGTGTCTAGTCTGAAATTGATCTTTAAAATTTAGTACATTTCTTTCCCTACTTTTTATGAAAACACAAACTCATCATGTTCAAAATCAACTATTTTGATCTTTCTCTCATTTTTTTTCACTTCCAGTATGGTTGTCATTTCTAATTGGCTTTACCAAAGAAGAAAGAAAAATTGGGATAGGGTTTTTTTTTTAAAAAAAATGTTCATTTGCATTAGGAAAAAGTTTTGGAAGCCTGGATTTATCTGCATTCCTTTGTAGTCTTCCTGAATCACTTCACTGAACTCACAGAATCATCTCATTATTCCATCTTAGGAAAAAGGGTCCCATTTTGATGCGCCCCTTTGCTCCTGCTGAGTTCTGGGTTGACATTTATGCATGGTGTGATCCATAATGCTTGAAGTGATCCTTGACTTGTTCCTCTAAGAGATGAGTGGGAACAGAATCCTGTTGGTGAAATACTCTGGTAAAACTTGGGGCTATATAATTTTGGAAATGTTGTAGGATGTATCAGTCCCTCTCATGAAATGCCAACACCATACAAGGCAGCTTCTAGGCACTTTAATAGTCTCCCTTGTCCATTTAGGGTGCTTCCAGACTGGGCTTAAACCCACAACCTGATGAGTTTCATGATGTTTCATGATGAGTTTAAGTCCCCAGGCCCTTCCCAAAAATCCAAGCTTATATACCGGGCTGCCATGCCACCTCTCCAGGAGGTCTCCTGGTCCATATAAATGACATGCCAGGAGGCTGGGGAGGGGAAGCATTCACCTCACCTCTTGGTGCATCATTTCTACATGCCAGGAGGTCTGCCAGAAAAGCAGCATGGCTGACCAGAAAGTTTTCGAGTATTTTAAGGGCTTTAGAGGGGAGGTTGGGAACGGCGGGGGGTGCCTTCTTAGTTCTCTGCACTTTTGGAAGCCCAAAGAACTGAGATGGGCTATGGGGACTGACCCCACAGGCCCCATACCCCATTAGACCTGAACCTTTCAGGAAGGCCCAAGTCTAATGGGATATCAAATTAATTGAGGACAAACCAGGGTTAACCTGCTTTGTCCCAAATTAATTTGCTTTTACCTGAGGTGTCATTTGGATGCCTCAGGTAAAAGCCCAACAAGAGCCCACATTTTGTGCCCTGTCTGGAAGCGCCCTTAGTGGCTGAGGAAGTGAAGCAGGCAGAGTCTGCCTGTAAATCCACAGCTGAGAGAAGGGATTATTAATCACTTTTTGGATCTCCAGACATTGTTTTTTGGATCCTCAGCATATACTAGCATCTTCACTAGAGATGTCTTCTGAATTCTCTCATCTGTGGTATTGCAGTTGGATACTCTGGTTCTTCCCCCAAGCAAAAATACACCTTAGCACTGGGAAGTTTGGGTTGTCGGAGGAAGTGGTAGCCCAATACAAATGCCCTGGCTTTATACTCAACTAGTGCAATAGAGTGTCTCACCTAATAAATGATAGTCAGGATTTGCAATGGGATTCAAAAATAACTTTGATGACAACTGACATTTTGTGTGCTTTGTGCTGATATGATTTTCCAATTTAAAACTTTCCTGTTATTAACGATTTGCAAGTTTCTCTTCTTTTTTTTTGTTTGTTTGTTGAAAGTACCTTGAGCGTAGTCTCAGAATTATGAATGCTAATTGAAGTCACCAAAGGTTGTTGGAGGCCTTGATCCTGGAGATGTAATCTGCAATTCAGACAGCTACATACTGGGTTCAGAAGGGGCTACCGGGCTAGAGAAAACCAGAACCAATACTTGAATGTTGAATGGGAAACCCCATGCCTTACCCTATAGGATCCCTTTGTATCTCAGTGTTCACAAGGCAGTGTTATTCTACAGATGCAACAGCTTTTCCACTGCCTCCTCTTTCCTTCCACATTTCACTGGATCCAGGCCAGCTCTCTTCCAAGTGGCTCAGGTCAGCAAAACCACGCTGGCATGTGAAGATCCAGTTTCTCATGATCTTATACCTTGTTTAGATGGGAAAGTGGCACAACAATGTTAAAATTGCAGGCTACATCCCAGCAGCATGGCTTCCCTTTAATCTCCTGCCTTTAAATTTGGTAAAGATTTTGCGTAATGCTAATCTACCCATTTCTCATGCAAGTATAGTATAATTTTATTTTATTTTTATTTTTTTAATGAAATTCAGAAGCTCAACATCATTTTAGTGTTTTAGGTGATTTAAATGCTGTTTTTGGTAGTGAATGACTTGGCGACTGTGTAAAATGCATCTGTACTGTAAATGAAATGTAATTATTTCTGTGTATCACACAAAGAAACCAAGGTTGTTGGTTGTTTGGGGGGATGACTTCGATAATTTTGGAGGGAAGTTGAAATTCGTATTGTACTTCAGGAGGGCAGTATAACAAGCTGTGTTATGCTGAATAAATCAGACATCTGAGGACTGTTTAAATAAAACATCTGCATGCTTGAATGGGACAACTGATTTTGCAATAACCTCATTCATGGGAGCATTGTGCTCCAACCTGTATTTCGAAGGAATGACTGGTGAAGCTTACCCTAAAATTCCTCTTGTGATTCAAGATGTCATTCATTGCAACTATTGTGCAGTTAATAAGTACCAGATCTTCATAACATCAAGGTCAGCTTCTCCCAAAATAGTCCACGTTTTACTATCCTACTAAAAAATCTTGCAAGGTGTGAATGCCTTCAACAGTTATTCACTCTGACCCAGCTCCATATCCGTATCTCTGCTTCGATATTTCAGTGATTAGATGCTCAGCAGCAGGAGGGAACAGAGGTGCATTAAATCCAGGTAGTTTCCAGGCCAAAGCTCTACGTGCTCAGCATGGCAGGTTGTGATACGAATCATATGTACAGGGCTCATTTGGGCACACAGCCCATTCTTACTCTTAGAATACATGTCTGGAAACCTGGTTTCTCAGTATGTATGCTTCTTCCCCGACTTGGCCTTTAACATAGCCCCTTAGCAATGAAGAACAACCCAGTTTCTCACCTGAACAGCTCTGAATGGTTGGTGAATTTGGGAACTTATAGCCCAGTATATTTATTATATTATTAACTAGAGCCTTTACAAAATCTTATCCTGTATCTATATCATGGTGAGAAAATAATCCATAGTTCTTAAAGTCTATGATAGATTCTCCCAAGCTGGGAAACATTCTGCAGCAGAATCTTGTTGGTGATTTACACTTACACACTTACAAGACTATTAAGTCTTTTCATGTTAATATCCTAACAACAGCCGTGATCAAGCCAAGTGATTGCTTCTGGGTTAATGTAGCCAAATGGCTTGGTGGACAACTGAACCTGGTTGTCCAGTTGTCCAAATTCAGGGATAATTCTAGCTCAGCAAAGCTTTTTTTCCTAGGAAATCAGGACAGCTGGCAGTGTCAGGTTCCTGTGTAGGGTAAAAGTTGGAAAAATACCAACTAGAGTTGAGAGTGTATACCTATTTAGGTCAGTTTATTTCAATGCTGCTGAAAAGCTGGTCATCTGAGAAATCCAGTCCTGAGGCAGAATGAACCGAGACTGAATGGATCCACCTGACAAACATTCTCATATTCAGTGAGAGAAAAATATCTCTGAGGATGTGGTGACGGCACAAACTACAATGAAAATCATGAAAACCCTTCATGTGAGCAGTTTAGTTTTGTTATGCATTCTACGAATATCTGCAAAAACCAGCAGTTTTTAAAGGCCCAGTTTTCTGTACATTCTTTGAATATAGAATCATTGCCCTCTCCATCAGGAAAGCAAACATGGCCAACTTGTAGCCATCTGGACATTATAGGATTGCAATCTGAACATTCCTGAATCACATCCTTAGTCCATTTTTTTAACTCCAAGTATTTTGATTTGCAATGTGCACTTTGCAGCTTCTCATTGCACAATTATTAAAATATGTATCTCTTCCTATCAGGAACCAGTAATGCTGAATATTACAGTTACTGATGAAGTTAGGGTTGATGGGAGTTGCAGACCAACACGACCTGGAGAGGAACACTGTTATCTACCCTTACCATAAGGATAAGTTCATTCTACAGTCTGTGTGAATTTGATCACCTCATTAGTATATGTATAGATCCTGTACAATTTATGTTGAGACCTACTGAATATGTATATCTTACTCATGTGTAGTCTTACCTACTGAAAGCCTTCCTCAACTATTAATTTAAATGATTATTTATTTAGTATGTAAGCCCTCCACCAGCTTACTACATATCCCATTAGGCATGGGGCTTCTGTGAGCTGTCAGACAGAAGATATGAGGAAAGCTGCAGTGGATGGATTTCTGCAATCCCACCATGACAAAACAGAAAATTGGCTGTTTTCAAATACATACAGGTAATATTTGTATTAAAACTCTTAAATACTGCTACTATGATGTTGTCTGTGCAGCCTACCCTGCAATAGCATGAGAAGATTAATATTATCTGGCAAAAGAAAAAAAAAAGAATTACAAAGCAATGCCAAAAGAAAACTGAAGACATTCATCAATTCCAGTTCAGCGAGTAGGCCACCAGAAAAGGTTGCACTAGCATGTAGGATCCAAGAAACCCATACTAACATATAACCACTTCTGCATTTACATTAACTACCTCATTTGACAGTGGCAGGAGGCAGTGGTCCACTTCGCCACAAGGCGTGAGGAATCCAGCAGCCGACGCCTGGTATCGCCTGCATCACCCACCTCACTGAGAGGGCAAACTCATGGGGGAAGCATGGAATGAGCATGATGCACACAGCTTCCCCCCCCCCCCAATAAATTGGGCAACATGGGAAGCCTCCCATGTTGCTAGGGTGGCAGCGGCATGCCGGTTCCGTCCGTCTACACCCATGCAGCCATCTTGATGTCGCTTGATGGGAGCCAACCAGCTCCGTGGGTGACCCTGAATCTAGGTTTGTTTGATGAGGGAGTAAGAAGGCCATGTGGTAAATTCAATAGAAATATATGTAAGATACAGTGGATCTGTCCTATTCACAGACTCATGATTCATGGATCCAACTGTACATTTGAATTCTTTGTGGGGATATGTCAAGGTTTAGATGGTAAGCCCCTATGAACAATGACATAGGATAGAATGGCAGCAGAAAACCCCAGCCACCACCACAATGCATTCTTTGGGCTCCCCTGATCTGATGAGTCCTCTAGCCACCCACCTTTGCCTTCCTCACTGGCACAGTCATCAAAAGCTGCAGAAGCTTGAAGAACTTGGCATGTCTGGTGGCTAGGACTTGCCACCACATCCATTGCTACTCTGTGCCATTCTTTATAGAGACTGAAGCATGTACATTTTTGGTATCTGTAGGACCTCCTAGAACCAATCCTCATGGATATCACTGTACTACATATGGACAGAAAAAATAAAGTACACAAATACAGAATGGATGACATCAGACTTGACGTGTGAAAATGATCTAGGGATGTTAAGCTAAACATGAATCAACAGTGTGATGTGGTAACCAAAATTTGTTACTGAAATTCTAGGCTACATCAACAGGAGTACTTCCAAGATAAGGAAAAGTATTCAGCTATACCAGTGGTTCTCAACTTGTGGGTCCCCAGATGTTTTGACCTTCAACACCCAGAAATCCTAACAGCTGGTAGACTGGCTGAGATTCTGGGAGTTGTAGACCAAAACACATGGGGACCCACAGGTTGAGAACCACTGAGCTATACTCAGCTTTGATTAGGCTCCACCTGGAATCCTGTGTGCATTTGTGGGCATCACAGTTTAAGAAGTATGTTGACAATTTACATTATGTTCACAAGATGGAGACTAAGATGATAAAAGTTGGGTCAGGAAACAAAGTCCTATGGGGGGATGACTGAAGGGAACCCTATGTGTTTAACCTGGAAAAGACTGAGAGCTAATATGATAGCCATTTCTGAATATCTGAGGGGATATCATGTAGATCATGGATCAAGCTGCTGCTCTAGAAATTTTGACACAAACCAATGAAAATCTTCAACAAGAGATGAAGTACAGAAAAGTGTACATGTGTTAGTTAAATGAAAAATAACCACCACCCCCACACAAAACTGGTGGGCTAAATGAGCTTTTCTTTTTCTTTTGGTGAGTGTGCTCCTTTTATAGGCAAGAAAGCCTATAGCAGTGGTTCTCAGCCTGTGGGTCCCCAGATGACTTGGCCTTCAACTCCCAGAAATCCTAACAGCTGGTAAACTGGATGGGATTTCTGGGAGTTGTAGGCCAAAACACCTGGGGATCCACAGGTTGAGAATCACTGGCATATAGCAACAGATATACCATGAAAACAGCTGGTTATTTTGCTCCAATAGCAGTAATTGGAAACTTTAAAAAAGGAAAGGAAGTCTTTACACAGAGTTAGAAAATCAGGGTAAAAATGCATAGGATTGCCTCTCTATTGGTTCTCAAGCTTTGGTCCTTTAGAATTTTTCAACTTCATCGCCCAGATGTTTGTTTCCTTAAGACTTCTATACCCACATAGATCTCAAACTAAGCTCTAGTACAAACTATTTGACTTACTTTTCATCAAACATATATAATTAATCAAACTGTAAAGCATACTATGAGTTCATATAAATTTCATTTCTAATCATCCTATTTGCCTACTTAAATTGAATGCCAAATTAATTGAATTCCTAATTGATATGTGAGAAATGGTTTTTTTCTATTCTTGTGTGCCTTCAAGTCACTTCCAACTTATGGCAACCTTAAGATGAACCTATCTTGGGATTTTCTTGGCAAGGCATGTTTACCCGTGCCAGCCCCTGAGACTGAAAGAATGTGATTTGAAAAATATCTGGAAGTTACAGTCATGGCTACTATGAAAAATGAAGATGTGCTTCCTCAAATTACTGCCTAGAGGAAATAATTGTACAACTAGAGGTGAGTGGTGGCAAATATTTCTAGCTGTGAAGAGAACATACTAAAGGGAACAACATAAAAATTCAACAGGATAATGATAAGAATAACATTACAAAATATAAAGCAGCAGTGATTTTATTGTTTGCCTCATTACACTCTTCTTTTCCCATCCCTTATCAATTTAGGTGCATGCTGTAACAATGTTAAAATCACAAGAATATAAAACACTTCTCATTCTGGGTTATGATTGCCCTGATGTGTGCCCTCCCATGAGGAATACTTTCTGACCAGACCTAGAAGAGCATCATGAGTTCAGTGGATTGTGCCATTGTGGTGGATTCAAATGACCTAAAGCCACACAAAGTCACTAAATATGAAGATGCTTTAATTTATAGTTTCCAACCATTGGTTTCAGAAAATTTTTAGTGCATATCAGCCAAAGAGAAATGCACACTGGAAAATTTACGCCTTTTGGACTACCAAGAATCTCCTAAGCAGCATAATAAGCAGCCATTTAATGATTTAATAATCCATTACAGTAACTTTTCAAAATGCTGAACACACTGTCTCCTCCTCCAAACCTCTGAGCAGCAAAGGAGGAGCTTTAAATTTGGGTTGCGGACTGTTTGGCTATCGATGTCCACCTCTCCATGAGGGCACACATCATGCAGTAAGCTTTGAACTGGCTACCACAGAATCCTCCATCATTTGAACTAATTACTATAACATGCAACACAAGCTGGAAAAAAATAATTCTGTAGTACATACAAAATACAGTAAAATGCACTTTTCACAATTTAATAAATATATTTTTTATATTTTTGCCCTGGGGTAAAAGTCACCCACTATCTTTAGAAAAATAGAAACAAGTGAATGCTCTTTTTAATTCCAGTCTGACACAATGTTTTCTGTAAGCGAATGAATAAAAACAGCTAATCAATGCTCTTTAATGAGGGAATAATTGGCCCACTGCAAATTTAAGAACTGAAATGAGTTCAAGTGCTCTCTCTTTCTTTCTTTGCGTTTTGCATATCTGTGTCACAAAAGATGTCATGGCATAATAAGTTTGCTGTGCTGTCCAAAATGAGAAACATGATTTATTGGTGGCTTCCATTCCCAGTTTGCAAACCATCATCAAACTGCGGTTCATAATTCAAATTTGAAAGCAGCATTTAAAGCAGTTTGATATTTCATGGAAAATGAAGAGTTAAGAAACTAGAAGCAGTGAGTTAACAACTTAGGAAAAGGAGTAATTCTTTTGATCCTCCCTAGCTATTCCCAGTTCTTTTTTTTTTTGAAAACATTATGTTATCCCCATCTCAATTTCCTATCTTACCCACAAAATGAAAGCAGACTTTGGTGTGGTGATCCTGGGCCACTGACAGTCCAGACCAGTGTTTCTCAACCTTCTAAATGCCACAACTCCTTAATACAGTTCCTCATGTTGTGATGACGCCCAACTATAAAATTATTTTTGTTGCTACTTCATAACTGTAATTTTGCTACTGTTATGAATTATAATGTAAATATTCAATATGCAGGATGTATTTTCATTCACTGGACCAAAATTGGCACAAATACCCAATACGCCCAAATTTGAATACTGGGGGTGATTGATTTTGTCATTTGGGAGTTGTAGTTGCTGGGATATATCATTCACCTACAAAGAGCATTCTGAACCCCACCAATGATAGAACCAGGCCACACAGAAGCCTCATGCCTTGAAGGGACTCACTGGCACAAGCTTCCATCCAGCTGCACACACTCTCCCTCGCCTGCATATGCGCTCCATGCTGCCATGCGCCAGGCACGCCTGCTCTCCCCTCCCTGCTTGGAGTCTCATAAACAGCCCTCCCCTTGGCTGAGAGGTCGGCCAATCACAGTGAGGAGGGCTTTTGATGAAAGGATTTGCCGTCTGTTTCCAAAAAGGAAGAGAAGGACAAGTGGAGAGATCTTCAGCCTTCTCTGCCAAAGCGGTACCTAAGACCATCAGAAATATGTGTTTTCTGATGATCTTTGGCGACCTCTCTGAAACAGCCTTGCAACCCTCCCAGAGGTCCCGACTCCCAGTTTGAGAAACACTACTGCAGACTTCTATGGATTTCAACTTGCTGAAACCTGCAAGACCAGTTGCACGGCATATTGACAGCTGAAGTCCAAAGCATCTGGAAGTCAATGGCTGATAACTATATCACTGGAGAAAAGGCAGGAAGAATAGAAAAGAGAGTGTGTGCATCATTGCATGCTCCCAACTTTTAAAAAAACATGGATTTTATGAACTAGGTCACTGAGCTGAACTGGAAATATCAAAAGGCTGTTTATCACGCTTTGGCCTTTCTCATAAATCAGTGCATCCTAAGTAAGAATTCACAAAATGCCTCCAAAATTCAACAAATGTCAGGTCAAAACTCAGCTGCTACAGGAAGAAAATCAAAAGGCTGAGACCACATTCCAGGCAGATTCTAAGTCTCATTGGATTGAAGGGGGGACTTAATTTCAGCTGCTTCATGCTCAAAATTAGTTTTGAAAAATGAGCAGGGTAAGGATTAACTATATCCCTTGCTTAAAAATAATTTCAAATCTTTCTTCAATAAATCCAGTTCTACAAAACATGAGCCGCTTAATTTTCCTCCTAAAAGCGGATCATATTTCAGCGGTAACAAGGACGTTCATTTATTAGTTTAAAAAATCATTTCGCCGACATAAATTAATCTGTATATTCAAAAGTCATTTAGGGAAGAAAAAAACAGACACTTTATGGTACTTCCATAAAAACAGCTAAATAAAAGTGCTGCTAAACAAAAAGATGACACTTTTAGAAAAATTAAATGTTTCAAAAGCCAAACTTTCAACTCTACTATACATACACACTCTTTTATTATATACAGAAATATCCCTGATCTTCTAGAGGCAATTTCCACAGAGGCTGAAATATGCTTTCACACAGCTAAATATTGTCCTCCGTTGCTCCAAACCAGAAATCAGTTTGGCCCCAACCTGTGGACTTTGTGCGTATTCACAAGAAGAATATAAATCCCTACCTATGCCCTCGATGTTGCAGTACACGGACAAAACTGTTTTTCAGTGGATCGGTTTGCATTCAACTGTACAGGTGGGCAAAGTGAAATGCACAGATTTCCGCTGAACTGTGCATGCCTACAATTCGTTGTGCACAATGCCAGTAGTGGTAACCCTTGCTGGTGAATCTTTTCCTCACTCTATCTATGACTGCTGTGCCATGCATACATTACAAATTGTAATGTGCTTTTCCCCCCAAATCCTGAGAATCCCAAAGTTCTAGCCTTTGTGGTTGTGATGATTAACCTGAAAATGAAATTTTCTCCCAATAGGTCAGAGAAAAGAAGGCAATTATTGGTTTTCTTTCGGTAAGATATCCCCGTTTTCTCACCTTATGGCTTTTGGAACGTTTTGAGGTGGAAATTTTCCGAACAGCAATTACGAACTGCAGAACAATACCAGAGTGCAACTCCTTCAACAGCGATGGCTTTCCAGCTACCATTTCTCCCAAAAGATATACATGTCACTTAAATTGCTTAAATTGCACATAACTGACAGACACTGAATCATTTCAGTGCTGAACAATTTACCCATCCTAGAATGGTTATAACATCAAAAGTTCAAATAGAATTGGACAGCACAAAAACCACATCCTATGTGGGTGGGTTTAATGAAAATGTCTTATGTTAAAAGATTGTGAACCCTGTTCTGCGATGATCAGCATTCTACATAATTTATATAGTCTCATGGAGAGCTTATTTGCTCCCAGAGTGCGAAACAATATATTCTTAATATTAAATCTATACTTTAGAATCGTAAAAATCATGACATTTTAAAGGGGAAATGTGTCCTTCCTTATATCTTCAAACTTCACTGTTCCTCCTTAAGTCTTCATCCATTATCCATTTACTTCCTAATACAGCTGACGTCGAATGATAGACTCAGAGACCTGAACAATGACTCAACACCCAGTTCTCAGGATGGCTAGTCACTCTACAGTTCTTCCATTTCAAAGTGTGTGTTAAAGCTGTTGGCCATGGCAGTGTGCTCGAAGATCCTTGTTAAGCTGGGCTTTAGCAGCTCCACTGAATGACACGACAGATGCTGCGCGGGGTCGTTCTTCAAGGACAGCATTTGGTCTGTACCTGGGTCTCGTCGGTCATAATACAGCGCCCACAGCAAAGTAATAGTGAGGATCATGGCCAAAATCTGAGTCACCCCGATGGAGATCCCAAGGAATCGGAGCACCTGCAGTTGCTTAGTTCCTCTCAGGAAGGTGTACATCTTTTTGCCACAGCCCTGAGGAGCAAGTGAGAGAGAGAAGTGTCAACCAGCTTGAGAATAATCAGGAATTTTAATAATAATAATAATAATAATAATAATAATAATAATTTTTATTTGTACTCCGCCACCACCTCCCCAAAGGGATTTGGAGCAGTATGGGCCAGTGCTATTAATGATTCATCACATTGGCCATGGATTACTCAGGATCAAAGGCCTGTCTGAAAAGCCATGTTTTTAAACTCATCCAAATGGCCTGAAGAGAGGGAACTAATCAAATTTCTTTAGGGAGGGCATTCCAAAATGCCCTCTCTCTCTTCCCCAACCGTGCTTGAGACAGTGGTGGGACCGAAAGAAGGGCCTCACCAGCAGATCTTAATGCCTGCGCCGGTTCATAGAAGGAGTTGCAGTCTCGAAGATAGCTTGGACCCGAAGCATATAGGGCTTTATAGGTAATTACCTGCACTTTGAATTAGGCCGGGAAAATTATCAAGAGTCAGTTGAGCTGCTTTAAAAGAGGGGTGATATGCTTCCTAAAGCTTGCCCCAGTTAACAATCTGGTTGCTGCTCTTTGCACTAGCTGCAGTTTCCAAGCAGTTTCCAAGATGTCTTCAAAGGCAGCCTCACGTAGAGTGCATATAGTTAATTTTGGATGTAACAATAGTCCATTCTGGATGTAACTAAGGTGTGGACCACCAAAGGAGCTGAAGTTCAAAACATCCAGTGCAGTGCTTCTCAAACTTTGTCCACTTGTGACCCCTTTTTGCTTGAGAATTTTGTATATAACCCCAGGTATATAGGTATATGAAACAGGTTTAAAAATCAAAGACTTAATGATAATAAATCAGCATTTGCAAGACTTGCTAAACAAAATTGTTTTCTTTTTTATTAAGTACAGCGGACGCATTTTCTGCAGACCCCACTGTAAACACTGTATGTAAATGTCTAAAATAGCCACTAGGTGGAGTTCAGAAACCTTGAATTGTTGCCAAATTTTGTGCCACCAACACTAAGCTAAGAGGACCCCATTTGAGATTCGGACCCATGGTTTAAGAAGTAGTGATCTAGGGGGTCAGAGTTTTGGAGTCACCGTTTTTGAATAATCCCATATCTAGCCATTTGCTGATGGGAAGAGAGGTTTAGAAATGCATGTATATACACTATTTCAGTTCTCAGTGTCCATGTCATTTATTTCAATGGTGAGATCAGAAATGTATGAAGTTAATGTGAACAGCTGAATCCATGAATAGAAAAACACGAATTTTCAAATTCACAAAAGAAAAAGTTACAGTCAACAATAGTTACTTATCATGATAGGTAACTCACTCCAAGCTACCAGTTGTGGGCCATGGTGGTCCATGCTCTGGTTACATCCCGTATAGACTACTGCAATGCTCTCTACTTGGGGTTGCCTTTGAAGACTGTTCAGAAGCTTCAAATGGTCCAACGGGCAGCAGTCAGGTTACTAACAGGGGCGGCACTCAGGAAGCACACTACTTCTCTGTTGCGTCAGCTCCACTGGCTGCCAATTTGCTACTGGGCACAATTCGAAGTGCTGGCTTGAGCCTATAAAGCCCTAAACAGTTCCGGTCCAGCTTACCTGTCCGAACGTATCTCTCCTTATGAACCATCTAGGAGCTTAAGATCATCTGGGAAGGCCCTGCTCTCGATCCTGCCTGTATCGCAAATGCGATTGGCGGGGACAAGGGACACAGCCTTCTCAGTGGTAGCCCCCCGGCTATGGAACTCTCTCCCCAGGGATATTAAATCATCCCCCTCCCTCCTGATTTTCCAGAAAAAAAGGTAAAAAATTAGCTCTTTGAGCAAACTTTCGAGAATGCAGCAGAATAGATAACATGAAACTATGAATGATGAACATGGAATGGCCAGACGATGTTACTGGAAAATGATTTTAACAAGATTACATCAGCGACTACATGTCTTAATGGTTTTTATATATGTTTTTATACTGTTATGTTGACTATTTTTAATCGCACTTTATGAATGCATGGCATCGAATTGTGCCAATCTGTAACTTGCCTTGAGTCACTGTATGGTTGAGAAAAGCGGGCTATAAATGTAGCAAATAAATAAATAAATAAGTTATAGATGTTCTGGCCTTCACGTGGGACTGAAGATGTTGGCCTAGAAAGGCTGACCCAAAAGGGTCGTCTTATGCAGAGAAGAATGATTTTATCTTTGGTATAAAGGGTGACCATTTTCCTAAAAACCGAGTCCAAAAAGTCATCACCATCACCTATTTTCTTCCCTTCCCTTGTGCAGATCTGGACAAAAAAAATTAATTTGTTCTACAATGCCAGGAATCCCTTGGCCACATTGGTTGGGGCTTTCATGGAGCAATAGCCCCAAAATGTAACTTTTTCAAGCTTTCTTCAGTGTCATTAAGAGTAAAGGAGTCTGAGAAGACGTTTTAAGGTACAACTGTGTGACACAAGGTAAAATGGACACATGCCTACAATTCCTCAAAGCAACCTGTTCTGAACTATCTTACCTCCTGGTAAAGGTCACTCAGGTCCTCATGGTGGGCCTGTTTGGAGCATCCTGGAAATTCTCTGACACAACAGGAATCAGGAGGCCAATCCAACTCTGTCATTTCCAACCAGTCCGTGAAGTACACCACTCCACAGCACTTAAACTGCAAAAGAATAATTACTCCTAAGTGTAAAGTTCAAAAAGAAAGAGACAAAGAATACAACCAGGTTTCTTTCCAACCTGAACAGCCACGAACAGCCACACACGCATACACATTCCCAGAGGCCAATATCATTGAGCATATGCTACAAAACCTGGAACACTTAGTTTTCTGCATGACAAGTATCAGAGTCCCCTGGTTATGCCGCTTGGGGGACTCTGAGACTTGTGGAATCCATAATATTAACATTCCAAGGTTTTGCTGAATGCACACTGTTTTTTGAAAAGTGTGATGTTGAAATGCATAAATAATTTACTGAGCTGGCCCAGCTGCTCTGTACAATTCGGAAAAATCCAAGTGAGATTACTCCCAGAGTACGTTTGGTGGTCTGCAGTCATTAACACCCCTTCTCCCAGTTTTGGTTTCTATTCCTTGTCACTGATCCTGGGTGAACATACCTCTTAACTGAAGCCGAATTTAGGAAATCAGAAACATCTGTGTAAATCCATAGTCCACCCCCACTCCCCGCTCCCCAAAATGGCAATTTTTAGAGCATTCTTTTCAAAACAAAATATGTTTCTGCAGAATAAAAAAGATAGGCACTCATTTCTTTAGTGTGGCTCCAAATAGAGTCAATAACCAAAGTGGACAAAAATATTTAGCATCATGTTCAAATTGGGACACACACCAAATGAAAAGCATTATTTTCTAACTGAGTTGCCTCAAATGTTGCCTCTGGTCAGTGATATAGTTCACAAGAACAGTAGGCTTTCAGTATCCATTGGGTCTTGGTTCCAGAACACACACACACACTGGATACCAAAATCCATGGATGCTCATATCCCATCATATACAACAGCAGAATAAAATGATGTCCCTTACATAAAATGGCAAACAACCCAAATGAAAGCCAGAGAGAGCCTGAGGATTTGTGAAATGGCAGGAAGCTATAGCAGTATAAGCCTACATTCATAAATATAGTGCTTAGTGCACAGCAAAATCAAAGTATGCTTTTTGGATTTTTTCTATATTAAAGGTAAAGGTTTTCCCCTGACATTAAGACCAGTCGTGTCCAACAATGAGGGTTGGTGGTCATCTCTGTTACTAAGA